AAGCTATCATCTTAGAAGGCTGCCAAAAAATCATTCACAGAAAAAAAAATACATGCATCCTAATACTTATTCCAAATATTTCCTTCCTTTTATGTTTAAAATGCAGATGTTACTTCAAGTGCATTACTCATTACACCAGGTGTAAGAATCATAGCCTTCCAACCCTTTAGTGCAGGGGTAGGCAACCTTTCCCCTTTAAGGGCCGAGGGACTTCAGCTCCCAGAAGCCTCAGCCATGTTGGCCAATAGTCCCATGTTGGCCAATAGCTCCTGGGATTCTGGGAGCTGAAGTCCCTCGGCCCTTGAAGGGGAAAGGTTGCCTACCCCTGCTTAGTGGACTGCAACCCTCAACAATTCTAACCAGCACAACTTATGGTGAAGAATGCTAGGAGCTAAAGTGCAACATGTGTAAGGCCATATGATCCTCACACCTGCTTTATTTTTCTTATGCACTCTTTTATATAGGAATATGTATGAAGAGAGTCATTTGAAATATACCATATGCAACTTCATGTAACATCATGCAATAAACTATTTTATTTTTTAGCCTGAAAGCTCACATATTCTCATTTTTGTAGCTCACCAACAATTTGGAAGTGACATAAAACAAGTTTTTACTCCATTATAAAAGTGTTCTGACATGGTTGTCTAGCAGCAGTCTTTTACTCATCACCAGCAACTAGGCTAACTACCAGTACTAACAACGATAAAGTTACAGCTTGGTATTAAATGAATATGCAGTGAGTATATTTAGTTAGAATATTCACATTAGAAACACAAACAACATATCAACTTTATTTTATTACATCTTACAGAAACAGTTTAGAATTTAAGAACTGTATTAAAAGTATAAACATTTGTTAGAAATATACACACACATACTTTTCAATATTGAAATGCAATTATGAACACTAGTGGGTAATAGTCCAAAACAATAGTATGTACATATCCAAATAAATAAGTTAAAATATAAAGCATGAGGTAGCTGTCTTTTGGAGTATCTTTTTCAGGATATTTTAACAGAGCAAGCTGGATTTATGCATTTCTTTCAATTAAAATAGCACCAGAATATATAATTTGCAATTTAGTTTCTCTCTCTAAATAACTAACTAGTTATGGTATTATGAAATGAAAACAATTCCATGTGTTTTTACTTATTAAAATTTAGGCAGTCTTAATAAAGTGGCATATCGTGTTAGCACTTCAAATTAGAGGGAAGAATGAAGTGCTGCTTGTTGTTCTGGTGAAACATTAAGTCATGGGGAGGTAGGGCACAGGCTTTGGGGGGAGGGGACTCCAGAAAGCTTACTGAATGCCAAAATTCTGTATTCACATGTTAAGATTCACCAATAAAATAGGTTTGCTCAAGTTGTAAAACTACATACACATCTACTTTAATATCCCTACATTTGTTGCCACCCAAACAATATTGACATGAGAGACTAGATATATAATCCTCAACTAATATTAATTTATCCTTTTCATATCTAGGGAACACAATTCAGCCACTGTCAAGTCCTTTTGACATTCCCGGTCAGGCATTAAGTCAGTATTTTGGTCTGAAACCTTTCAGCCTTTAAAGAATTATGTAAGAGTCTTGAATGCGTCCAAAAATATGCTGAAATTAAATTTATCTGGAAATATAACACACATGTAATTGATAGTTTCAACAGTAGGATGAAGATTTTCTCTTGATGTCTCCTTATCATAGGAGGTTCCAATGGAAGACATTTTCACATGCTCCTGATGGAATATTGAAAATGTAAGAGATATTAAGGATAATATATTTTGCAACACTTGCAACAGGGAAAAATGCGTCAAGGTTTGATGGGGAGTTTCAATAAATTTTGAGTCTAGAATCTGAACTAACAGGGAGCTAGTGTGGCGTAGTGGTTTGAGTGCTGGAGTACAACTCTAGAGATCCAGGGTTCAATTCCTGCTCAGCCATGAAACCCACTAGGTGACCTTGGGCAAGTCACACTTTCTTAGCCTCAGAGCAAGGCAACTGTAAACCACCTCTGAAGGAATCTTGCCAAGAAAACCCCATGATAGGTTTGCCCTGGGGTTGGAAATGACGTGAAGGCACACAATAAGCAACAATCTGAACTAACACCAACACATACTCTACACCACCACAATATAAAATGGGAGTAGGATGGTAAGAGGAAGGTTAGTTTCTTCTTACAATTTAATTACTAAATAAGTAAGCATACCTTGATTGGATGAACCCAGAGTATTTGTGTTTTAAATTAGGGCTGGACAGTACACGGCCTATTGGTGGATCACCAGCTCGTTTTTGACTCTCCACTGCTATGCCTCAGAAATCTGAGCAAAACCAAGCAATTTTCCCTTTTAAAAGTTGGATAACATTCCTGACAGAGTGATTCAACTTTACAATAAGTAAAGGTTTCCCACATGCCTTGTTTGAAAGAACTATTTCATCTTGCTACCACATTGCCAGATTTTGGTGATAAAACAGCAAATCCAGCAGTGATAGTCTCCAGTGGGTAAGCACAGAAGTTGCCACTTGTATTACATATTAGATACTCTTAATGTAGCCTATTCATTTAATAACATTAGAAAAAAGATCCTCACAAAAAAAGGATATCAAAGCTTCACTTTTCAAGTGAGAAAGTAGCTTCTTTAGAGGAAGATACTGACAAAGGGATGGCACACAACCCAGCATAACTAATTTATGTTTGGCTCTTGTAATGGCAACATTGAGACGTCTCCAGTCCTTCAGAAGTTCTCCTAGCTTTAAGAAAAAACAATAGACATAAGAATTTTTTAAAAATCTAACAAAATTATCTGTTTTCTACTTCGTATAATATATTTAATCACTACTGGGAATAATCACAAAAAGTAATAGATATAATTTTTCACTGCACAATCTACCTACAAAACACTTTTTATGAACACCTCTAAAACCAGAAATCGGATTTGACTAGATCTCTTTTAAAAAGGAATTATTTTCTCTGAAAAAGCACTTTACCACACAGTTCTAGGGCATCTGTGCAGATTTGAAGTTCCTTGTGCTTATACAAAACTAATTCTGCAGTTATTTGAAACATTTCCTACATATTTTAGCAGATACTAATGCAGTCAGTGTTTCCTTACTATAAACTTACTATAATTATTATGCAAGCATGACCAAAGTAGCAGCAATGAACTGATAGCATCTGAAATTTCAAGGCCATAAACTGTCATTCCAAAATACGGTCTACTTACTTTTCCATCAGTGTTACTCCTTACAAATGAAACTATGATGATACTTTTGTCTCTTCCTTGATACTTGTCCACAGTGTTTACTTCTACCTTATTGATATGTGAGCTTGTCATCAGCTCAGTGATTACTTTTAGTTGATGTCTGTATGGAGATATAACCCCAATATCTAATGGCTTACAACCAGCCTAAAAAAGAAGTTCCAGATATTAAATTATGAAATCTAGCAGATAAGTCATTTTTTATCATACCATGTTAGGAGATCCTTTAAGAAACTGGTAAGCCACACTCACAAAATATACAGGTGTCAACTGTATCAAACCAATGCAAAGAAAAACTCAAAACTGAAAGTGCAGGTACAAATGTAAACTCTACTCATTCCCTCAAACATAGACATAAAAACAGAAGGTTCATTTTTAAGATGTTTGGACGGTTAAATTTTGTTTAGAAATGAACATACCTTGCCCATAGGCTAACTGTCTAAAATATATCGTCATAAGCAAAACTAACAGGAATGGGAAAGGAGAAGGGGAGGAGAGGAGAGCAAGGCAGAGTTTAACAAGACTTGGAAAGAAGCGCATTTAAAGCACAATTTAAAAAGCAAGTAAGCAGAAATACAGATGTTGGTAGGCAGGGAGTTTCAGACAGGATAAGATGCGGAACGAGAGTTGTGAAGCTGAGAAAGTAACTAAAAGTTTAAGTAACAGAAAATTAAAGATAAGGGTCTAAGACAATAAGAAAACAAGTAAATTGAATAGTAAGAGGGAGCCAAGCAGTTTTTAAAAAATTTAAAAGACAAATATATCCAGTGGTTTAGTTCCAGGACCCCACGTGGATACAAAAAATGCAGGTGTACAAGTCCTTATTTAAAAAATGCAGCAGCAGAGGCAGCGACAAACTCTGGCCACCAGCTGCATATTCTTTGGCCTTCCCCACCTACAGGAAAGCCTGCCAACGACCCCCACAAGGTCCCCATTTGGATCTCAATGAGGGCAAGCAAGTGGCAGACTACTATGTTGTGCCACATCCGCAACTTGGAAGCCATCGTTTCCAGGTGTCCAGCAGCCACTCAAAATCAGGCTCCCCTGCACTACATCTCTTGCAAAGTCCATTGCAGCTATCTGTCCCTTTCTCCACTCTGGAACTGCTCCAGCCCATCTCTCCCTGTTTGGCGCAGGACCACGATGACCAGATGCCACAGTCCTGAGGCTGGCTACCACTACAGTCCTGAATGGGCTGTTGGCAAGGAGTGCTTTTTTTGAGCTCCTTTCGCCAGCAGCCCCAGCATAGCTTCGGCCCGATTCAGGGACGTGCATCATCTGTACACCATACCCATGTTTTGGGCCAAAGAAAGACTTCTCCCCCCCCCCTCGAGAACAACCCTCTGGGAATCTCAAGGTCCTCCAGTGCAGCTCTATGCTCAACATCTGCTGGGTGCTGACCACAGAATTGTGCTGGAAGACCTACAAATGCATAGAGAAGTGTTCTCTCTAGGAGGCTCTAGGTCATCGAGATTTCTTATAGACGTTGACCATAGAGTCACACTAGAGAACCTAGAAATCCCTAGAGAGAACATATTAATCAAATCCATAAAAGTCAAACCTCAAACGTGGAGGGCTCTGTAATTTCCACTTAGGCCACTCACACACATACTGTGCCTGCCTTCTCTGTGGGGCCTGTAATCTTGAAATCATTATGTCCCACATCCATCTTTGTTCAGAGCACATTTATTTTTCAATCATCAGCTCAGAAGGGCAACTTCATGCAGGGAGAGACTTACTCTTGATAATGTTTTGTAGAATGTTCTTGTTGACCCCAAGATTAGGCAGGGTCACATGGGAGTTAGTTCTATTGTATTTAGTGAGATTTAGTACTATGCAAACATGTGTAAGACTGCTACTGTAGGAAGAAAAGGCAGGGACAGATGAGGATGGGAGTAGTGTGTTTGTGTGTAAAGGAGGTAGATGCTTATGAATAGGCAAGCCTGTATAGGTCTACAAAGACATAAGTCCCACTGATTTCAGTGGGATTTATTCCAATGTAAGCATGTGCAGAATTAGTGTCACACATTTTCTTAGAGAAGTTTCATCTCTGAACCTTAATAGTTTGTGCTTTGTAAAATGGGTAAACAATTAAATACAGACGAACAACTGCTATAGGCTGGGGGGGGGGGGGGGGGGAACTGTACTGGCCCTCTGCTGGACATTTCTTTACATCTTCCTACTTGTATCCCCTCTCAGGATTTTTAATCTGATAAACTTTTTTCCCAAAAAATGTTTTCTAATACTGAATACCCCAGCCCATAGGGAGTATGGGGTGCAATTTCACCATGCCTCCCACCCTGGCTTCCAGACTCATAAGATGATGCACAGCCTTTATTTAACAAGGAAATTAATCATAAGTCAGCAGCCTAAATATCCCAAAGGCACCAGATCCCGTCTGATCTTGGAACTATGTAGTCAGCTCTGGTTGGAACTTGAAAGGGAGTCTGCCAGTGAATACCAGGTGCTGTAAGCTATATTTGAGAGAAATAACTGGCAAAACCACCTCTGAGTATTCCTTGCCTAAAAAAAACCCTGTGAAATTCATGGGGTTGCCTTAAGTCAACAGTGGCTTGAAGGCACACACATACATAAACCATAAGTCAGCTTTTAAAGTTTCTTTCACCAAAGAAGTTCCATTTTTTTTAAAGGGTAAAATCTTCATGGAAGCAGAATTTAGTGATATAGAAGAGATAGTATTTTTCTGTATAATATTGTAAGTATGATTTTGTAAAGAGTAAGAAGTTCACACAATTTCACTTGCAACTGTCTGTCTGAAAATTTGGTAGGACGATGGGGAATACAAAGACAGAGGAGAGGAAGGCAATAGCAAAAAACTACCACACTCAACCTAATGTTAAATGAGCAATCTGCTTAGACACATTTCTCTCTTCACATGACAATTGTCAGAACATAAATACATACTCAGGCTTTGATAGATGAAAGGACATTAGGGCTACATACAACATTAGTCCTTTCTGGAGAGGGCCCACAAAAATTATATTTGTAATTTAAATCCCATTGATTTCATGGTTTACACTGTTACATTTTCCCCCCTTCCAAATAATACAAGCAAGATCAATACCTTTATAAACATAAATGTCAGAAACAGCACTAGTCTGGCTTCTGTCATGTTGCTCACACCCCCTTTTTCTGTCTGTTCTGGTGCTGGAACCTGTAAAGCAAAGGCAAATGCCATACAGTGAAATCTGAAATAATGTTTAGAAAAAAGGATGGCCTGGATTTTTTAATATTAAAAATGACACTTGCAGATAATTTGCTTATACTAAAGAGAAGAAACCCCACACTAAGAACTGAAGGTAGTCATGCTGCAATACAACATTTTCCACGAATTCTGTTTTCTAATGAATAAAGCAAACATGACCAGGGAACATTTTTCAAGGGAGAAAGGAAAAGGAGAGCAAATAAAGCCTACCTTCTCTGTGTTAAGAAAACAGACAGGGTTGTTTGGATCAAGCGTTTCCTTTAACCATGTTTCTGAGGAATACATCTGCTCCAATTTCAATTCTTTTAAATTTGGCAAGTTAATTACAGCTTTGGATATCCTCTCAGAGCCACTCTCCAGTTTGCCATCATATACTAGCTTGTTACTCAGCGACATAATTTTGCTAAAGGGTTTTGAAAAGCAAAGTAAAATCAGATTTGAAAACTTTCAACATAT